GTGAAATTCCGGGGGTAAAAATCCGGGGGTAAAATTCCGGGGGGTAAAATTCCGGGGGTAAAATTCCAGGGGTAAAAATCCGGGTCGTACACTCTAGGTTTTTATAATTTGATGTGTTCTGATTAAATTTACAACCGTGAAAATATATGTTTAATTCCGCGTTTAATCCATCGAGCTGATGTCGCGAAACTCAAAAGTTCGCGGCCGGAATTTAACCCCCTGGTTTGTGACGTCACGTTTGCCCAGGGGGTAAAATTCCAGGGGGATAAAAATCCGCTACCCCGATCAAAATTGTCTTGATTGCCGAGAGGTTAGTGCTCGTCTTCACATCTAAAGCTCCCTGTTTCGATTCCTAAGCCAGATCGATCGTGAAAAAAACTGTATTTGTCGCTGGACTATCAACTAATAAAGTAAACAAAATGTTTACGTGAGATAAAACTATAGACTTTATACCATTTTTATGGTAGTCAATTTATACCATTTTTATGGTAGTCAATGATAGAACACTAGGATTTAGAGCGTTCCATTACAAAAAGAGTTTAAAATGCCAATGAATAGATAACACATTGCGTTTCTATGACGTAGGAATTGCGATCGATGTCGATTCATGACGTCAACACTGTGACGAGATAAGAGGGGTAAAAGACTAATCAGATAAGCTGAAACCTCCTAACATCGCGCCGACCGTCCGCATTGGGGTACGTCCACAATGCACGCTGGTTTTCTGAGTCAGGGTACGTCCACAATGCACGCTGGTATAAGCAGGAAGTCAGATTCAGATTTTCGGTGCCGAGTGTCTGACTCAGATGAGGTGGCCATAATGCAAGCAGGTTGTCAGCCGGACCTGTCTGTGTTGAGACCTATTTAAGGGATACTTTACATTGATACATACCTACATATTTATACATATTTTATACATATTATTAACTTCTTGCTGACGACAATTTTTTTTTTATATTTAAGAATGAGATTGAACACCTTCTTAAAAATGAGCACAAGCTTGCCAAAAACTGGGGAAAATATCACAAAACCTTGAAATAGCATGTCCCGTTGAAGTAACTAAATTTATTTCCGTAAGTTAAATTACTTATTTTGTAAAAATTCAATATTACAAACAATTTAATTCAATCAGCAGATAAATTTAAGTTACAATGTTACTATATTTGTTAAAAATTATGCACTTTGATGCGCTTATTGCAATTTGCTGGAACGTGTTGAACGTTTGATAGCAATTTGTCGATATCCATGGTTAATGTAATGAAAAACTTATACACTCAATACAAAAACAAAAATCAACAGTCAGATATAAGCAGGTTGTCTGAAACCAGAATGAACAATTCATTCCGGTAAAAATCTGAGTCAGACTACCTGCGCGCAGAAAATCGGCGCGCAGGTGCACTATGGCCGCTTACGTTTACTAGCATGGGATGATAAGCGCGCCGAGTCTGACTTCATCGGCGCCGACAGTCTGACTCAGAAAACCAGCGTGCATTGTGGACGTACCCTCAGACTGTCGGCGCCGATTAAGTCAGACTCGGCGCGCTTATCATCCCATGCTAGTAAACGTAAGCGGCCATAGTGCACCTGCGTGCCGATTTTCTGCGCGCAGGCAGTCTGACTCCGATTTTTACCGGAATGAATTGTTCATTCTGGTTTCAGACAACCTGCTTTATCGGACTGTTGATTTTTGTTTTTGTATTAAGTGTATACCGGTAAGTGTTTCATTACATTAACCATGGATATCGACCAATTGCTATAAAAAATCAACACATTCCAGCAAATAGCAATATAAGCACATTAAAGTGAATTGTTTTTAAATGTGGCAACATTGTACGTTAAATTTATCTGCTGGTTTAATTAAATTGTTTTTAATATTGCATTTTTACAAAATAAACCATTTAACTTACTTAAATAAATTGATTTACCTCAGCCAAATTCAATGTTTTGTCATATTTTCCCCAGTTTTGGCGAGCTTGTGTTCGATTTTTATGAGGATTAAATAAAAGGTGTGCAAGCTCATTCTGAAATATTGAAAAACCCTGTTGTCGTCTGCAAGAAGTTGCGGGAATATATGTATGTATCCCTTAAATAGGTTGTCATCGTCAATATGCGTGATTCGATCAACTCGATATCACGGACGATCAGATATTATAAAATATCAGAAATGACAAAAATAAATGTGAACAAAACCCCATCTTCTTTATTTCATTCAAACATCAAACAACAACTAAACTATTTACTGTTTTTTTAACAAAACAATTGAAAAACATATGACTGTTTATATATTAATTATTTAAACAGTCTTATGGCAAACTTATATGAAATATATTAAGGGGTTTTCATTATCAATGATTAATCACCGTACGTCAAGGTCTCAACACAGACAGGTACAGCTTACAACCTGCTTGCATTATGGCCACCCCACCGGAGTCAGGCACTCGGCGCCGAAAATCTGAATCTGACTTCCTGCTTATACCAGCGTGCATTGTGGACGTACCCTAAGCAGGTTGTCTGAAACCAGAATGAACAATTCATTCCGGTAAAAATCTGAGTCAGACTACCTGCGCGCAGAAAATCGGCGCGCAGGTGCACTATGGCCGCTTACGTTTACTAGCATGGGATGATAAGCGCGCCGAGTCTGACTTCATCGGCGCCGACAGTCTGACTCAGAAAACCAGCGTGCATTGTGGACGTACCCTTGGGAATTAACACATGCCATTTGGCAAATGATGACTGTGTGCTTACACTGCCCGGGATGTTATGTGCATGCCAGTAATACTGACATTGACTTAAAACTGGCTTATCATCGATATAAACCAGGTGTTTTGATAAACTTACACAAAATGTATCTTGGCGTATGGAAAAGTTTAAAAGAAATTTAGAGGGATTTTTTTGCACTGATTGGAACCTCTTGACATGTTATTGGAACACATCAATCCTACATGATTTTTATTTCGATGAATTGTCATGGCAGGATTTATCAGCTGATCTTAGTCAGAAACAAATTTGTCGTTGATACATGTAAAACTCATTATTTACTCATCGCCTTCTTACACTCTTCGGTGGGTTAGTCAGAAACAAATGTGTAGTATAGAATATCTCATTCTTTATCTTCGCCTTCTTTACGATATCTTCGCCTAATGTTACGTTCTTCGGTGGGTCGAAGTGACACAAATCAATTCGTTTATTACCGCTCGATAGACGGTGTTAAAAAATGCGGTGTTAAAAATGTGTGGCTTAAAAAATGAAAAAAGATTATTATTCAACTTATCCATCTACTGTAATAACATTTCGCAACCCCCAATTAAGTTTGATTGTTAAAAAACTCGTTTAGAACATAGCACCATGCATTATATCATTGACTATTGTTATTCTAACACCTGTTCATAAACATACTTGTAATTGAGAGATAAAGTATTATGCGTAGCCATTCGTCGTCTAACCAGATACTAACGTAAAAAAAATCACTAAAAGCTCATCTCAATGTCGCATCGTACCGTACTCAATGTCGTATCAAAGAACCGGTTTGATGGATGGATTAGTTCAACAGTGACCCGTTTATCATTAATTGAGGTTAATGATAAGCTGGTCACTGTTTAATTAATCCATCACTAGTTGTTACGATGACGACGGAAAATCAACAGAAGGCCTACTTGTTTGTTAAACTATCCATCTAGTCAATGTTACAATAATGTTTTACACGGAGATGACAGTGAACTATTTGTATTTGTTATTCATTTTGTAACCGGTGATATTATTTATTAATCAAACATTAAATTCAATATTTCCTGAAATTGTTTAACAAAAACAAACAATAGCTATTGTCTATTACAAACTGTAGTCCGTACAAGTGCATGAAAACATTATCAAACATTAGTAGTTTTCGAATTCAACTGTAACTAATAATTAAAACTTGCACATTTTATATTGGAAAATAATGGCAAATGTAACTCACAACACAATAACCGTACATAATAAAAATACATATACAGCACTCACAAACACGTAAAAGTAATGAACACGTTCTCAGCTATAGCAATTGGTTCTCAAAGCGTAGCTGCAAATCCGTTCAAGTTATAAAAACACACAGAAAACATTTGGTTTCGATTTACAGAAGCAACAGTTATGGGGGAGGGGGGGGGGTACGACAAGACAAACAAATCTCAGGCTCATGGTTGAGTGGTGGGTTGGGGGGGGGGGGGTAAACACCAGGGTGCCGCTACCACATGGGGTGTACTGTGTCAATGGTAAACTATTCACCTCCCTACCATAATGGTAAAGCGTGAAATGAGGTGAATTCGACTATTCCCATAGACGTTCAGGTAAACAAGATTGATTTCGATCTATTTTTACTAGTCACTTGTATTCGTATACGTTCCTCCTTCTAACTGTAATCGCAATTTAGTAATTTGAATTAAAGAATTGTCACCGAGAAAACCTTTTGATATTTGTTCATCCAAACCGTATCAAAAGGGTGGATTTACTGTGTACTCGTCTTCTAGGCTTGACAACTCGTTGGGGTGTATTTTAATGCCAACATTTCGGACGTCAGAGACGTTGCAATTCTCAAACGATTAATTCCTTTGGTTAATTTATTTGTCGTAGTACCTTTACTACTGGATTTGCACCCTGAAGACGGAAAACTGAAACGTCGACATTCAAATACAGTCTGTCGACAATTTCAAGCCAGAAAACAAGTATAGGCCTATTGTGAGAACTATCAGACGGCCAGAATCACATTCCTCATGTAACGGATTAGATATAACCGTTTCTATTGATTTCGACACTAATAATACAATTTTGACAAAAATTAAAAAAAATGTTCCCACATGTGAATAAAGGCCTAATTAGACACTATACACAATTCAACACGATTCACAATTGTGTGTTTCACAATTCACGATAGCAATTTATGGTCTAATCTTTCTTCATTTTAACGAGTGGCATCGGCAACCCAAGAGGGGAACGTATGGTATGAGGGGTCGACACTCAGTACTTACATAACTGTAACCGTAGGGAGCCTAGAACACAAAATATATGTTAAAATATATGTTCTGTCTGAGACCCCAGAAACAGAAGAGAAACAACATTGATCACCACCACAGCAAACAACTCCAGAAAACACTGCCAAGAAGGCACCCCTCACAGTAAGCTATTTAGTAACACAGAATGAAGAAAACCAACATGGAAAAGTTATTAATTTTTTTAGTTACGACAAAGTTTAGAGCAAACGTTGATTAAATCTTTAAGTTATGTTTGTGAATTTATAGAGTTTTAAAAACCGAAAGAAACATATGTGTGTAAGTTACTGTTACCACAGGAATTACACGAGCACGAAGTGCAATGTTAGGTTAAATATTTTATCCAAATGCATCAGATTGTACAAAAACATTTTTCATCTCAATATATTGGTATCAAACATGCACATTGCACCATGACTACTTTACCTAGAAAGTGATATAGAAATTTACTGTTAACCAAAAAAATAAATATGTAGTTAATTCCATCGTAGACTACTGCATATAAATACCAGTCGGAGGTATAACAGTTTTCCAAAGCAAAGTATAGAATTGTAGGTTACAAGTGGCAGAGGCCAGTTGGAAGGAGGTTCCATTGGCAAATAAAAGTCTTCAAGAAGGACATTACTACATGTTTGGCGGTACAATCAGCGGGGCATTCCCCGGCGCGGCTCCTCTATTTGGCTGTAATGCGAATAGGATGTGAGGGAATGCGAAGACATCGGACAAGCTCTGTCGTATCGAATCTCGAAATCGAATCGTAGCGATTTACGATGCAATTCAAATTCCTTAGAATTACACACAAATTACATGTGAGAATACATTTTAGCATTACGTGAACATATCAAAATACCATCAAGGAAACGTTGGTTCCTCTATTCTGGATGGTATGAGATAAATTAATAAAACAGAAAATTTTGGTAGTTTGTGTAGCTTGTGATAACTAGGATCAGCAACACTCCAGATAACTATTGTACAGATAATGAAAATCACTAGTAATTAGGTACGGTGTTTGATTACATTTTCTAGGGACACAAGGCCAACTGCTAAATTTACTAAAGAGAATACTGTAATGTAGAGTAAAAATGCGGTGGAATCGTTAGGCGTGCAGTAAAAAGGCAATAAATCAACGAAGTCACAGAATAAATATAAGCATAATTGTTCTAAACTGACACTCGGGATTTGCACAATCTTATCGTGGTTCTGATCACGATGTAACTTTCTTATCTAAGATAACTACAATATCACAATCTTATGTTAGCTACAAGCGATTTATCGATTTGATTACTACTTTTGCTAATAAAAGTCAAACAGCTTAACTTCATTAATTAATCCATTGACTAATGTAATTACTTTCATAATACATTTCGTGAGCAGAGAAGTGACGTGGATTTAAGGGAGAGATTTCAAGCTATTATTTCAAAAATATGTTTGTGTATCAAATGTACAAAACTACAAGATTACCACTGTAAAAAAATACCATACCAAGTCTCTCATTATTATTCGTTATTATTGAAATGTAATAAGCACGCAGTTTCGAGGGTAAAATGTATTGTAAAATTTAGTCTGATGTAACTTACATTTATCTGATGTAATCAAAGCATAAAAACTCAAAAACTTACATCATTGGCCTAACGTTTACGTACATAATAACAAAGTACTTATCTCTCGTATAATTTCAAGCAAAGACTAAAAATTGATCATGCATGCAACCCTCATTTGCAAAATTTGTAAGGCAAAACGACTTACGCAACGAAAACCTTCTTCAGCCAAACGCTCACCTGGAAAAAATATAAATTAGTAAAATCCTAAAACAACATTTGCAAAACTGTTATTAGTGGAACTAAATAGGGAAATTCATATTAACTTATCCAGCACCAACTATAAATAAACCTATGTTGAGTCAACATAGCCACAAGGCTATCATATAAAACGTTGGTATGAAATCAGCACACAATTGATGATAACAAGTATACTGTCCGAGTCTGACTAAAACTGTAGCCTACAGTCAATAGTTAGTGAAATACGTAGGGCCTAATTGAAAATGGGAATGTTGCAACAGTGAAATCTCGATAAGCCTCCCTTGATAACAGTATAATTTTCAAATATAAGAAATTTATTTCAAGAATTCAAGAATTTATTTTACCCCTTATCACATGTTTTAGCAATCCTCGATAAGAAAGTCAACCTTGAAAACATATCATATTTAATAAACCCCTGGGAGTCTTGTTATCGAGGTTCTACTGTAGTACTATACGGCGTAGTTGGTTGGGTTGATAGAGCTTAGAACGTCTGTATTGAAAGCTAGGGTTTAGTTCACGCCAATCGCAAACGGCTTTTACCTATGATAGAACACCATGTTTCGGAAATTCGGTACCGAAGTACACCTTGTGACTTGTAGGTCCAACAGTCTAAAAAACCTTAAATTGATTTAATCATCTAAGGCTAGGATAACTTGCCTGGATCATAGAAATTTCTCCACTTAAATCGTTAGTTTTTACAGTAATTTCTCAACCATTCGACGATGGTCTCTAAGAACCTACCCGCTCTATAGCTAATGGCAGGATAACGACGTAGAATACGTAACATCAGAATCCCACATATGCAACATGCGTTGTCCGGAGAGGGTACGTGGCGTAAAACAAAGGACAATGGTACGTAAAGTACTATCTGTCAGTGACTACATAGTCAAGAGTACATTTAATTATTCAGGATTAAAGTATTTGGAAAGTATGATTCTTGTCTATAAATCGTAGCCCATCGCACACTATAGGGAGTCATACAGAAGATGAATACGGACATAATCTGACAAATTAAAAAAACATATGTTATCCAATTTTGTTAGTACACTAGCAGATAGAAATACAAGGCATAAACTTTGCCAGGGAAGCGCATTGCACATGACAGAATGGTAACGCCCTACGCCTACTGATTAGGCGGCATGTACAATCGATCGTGCCAACTGACGGCTAGTACACTGTAGTGTACAGTACACGCTTCACGGCACTGTCTACATTGTGCCACAGTGTACTGTGTATTTCTCGTAATCGAGCATTGTGTTTGTAATAACAGGGAAACCTAATTAATCGCATTCAAATAAATAGCCGTGTTCCTGTTCTAAACTGCTTGATATGATGTATTTATTGAACTATCAGAAAATATAATTTTATAGAGAATAGTTTACTAAACGATAAGGATAAATATTTTTCAGGATATGAGCCGTGCGAGTTGTGTTATAGCGTGTGAGTAAATGTGATATTTTTATATTTAGTGGGATGACAGTAAATAGTTGATCTGGCAGAACAGTCTTTGAGTCGACATACGCTTGATCAATGATCAGGGGAGCAAGTTGAGGATGCTATGCTCTTTAAAGGAATAGACATTTGATTGTCTACTCCTTTTATCTATGGCTCTAGCTAGCAAACAACAAACGCATTTATATGCTGCAAACCGTATGTTATTGATTCAATATTATGTACACCCTTAGACATTCCCTCCCCATGTTAAATTTGTAGCCAGCTTTTTTACCAAAATCGTCGTAGTTGATGTGAGCCACCGACAGATTGTGCTGATCTAAATTACTGATTTTGTTAAATACACAATCTTTTTTTCCAATTAAAACTAATGGATTTACTTATTGTGAGCTATAGCAACTGTTATGGTCCATCAACTTGACTAGCAACAAAAAATAAGGTAGAAAATAGAGTTTTAGTCACTAGCGCATTCTGTGACTGGCTCACACAACTACGTTCTTTTCAAAAATTGGCTAAAGCTGGTCCATATAGATGGGACGTCTACTTCAGTATCCAATAATACAATCTTGCACCCCTGTATTCTACATGAGTGGCTACTGTACTATGAGTAAATCCGAACTAAATAGTAAAAGGAAACGTATTGTGGCCATTTTGAAGATGGGAAAATGATAGAAATGCTAGAATGTAATGTTCGATAAGGATTTGTTAGACCTAGACCCTAATTTTACCTTAATCACCCATCCTAAAACATTTTCGAGTAATTTAATCTCAATCCCAAGGTACAACTTTCAATTTCAGGGGAATTTCCCGATGTTGACAATTTGTCCAGTTGTACTGTATGCTGACTGAGGTCGTCACGCAATGCTTATGCTGTCCGTGCTCCGTGCTATCACAGCACGTGACACTTGACTGGGCATTATGCTGTCTCGCGTGGAAACTTCCACAGGTGGATACGCAAAAACCGCAAAACTTACGTAACCACAACAGCTGGTGTAGATAACAAACTAGCTGAATCGTCAAATTATAATGCTTATCAAAGAAGGGAAGTACAATAATGCAAATAAATATGTATACAGTACTTACTAGCTCTTGTGCAGATTTTTATTTGAGCATATTAAAAAAAATAATTGTTATCGATCGCATCGCAATTTTAACAGCCTTCATCCTCGTGTAAAATGTTTCTCATGACTGAGTTAGAGAGTAACGAATATGGAATCTTGTTATTGTTAAATTGCACACAGTTCAATATTGCAAAGCTTGATGTGCCAAAACCAAACAAAATATATTGTAATTACAGTCTGCCAAGTGCCAAACCACGGAATAGATCGTTGGCGTTTAACGATTTAACCTACTGCCAGAAGGTAAACAGTTGGTAGCTGGCTGATTTCCAAAATCGATGCCATCACCCGCCTCCCCCCAGTCAGCCCCACGACGACTCCCGGCTAAACCATTTTGGCACAAACCATCAAGGATACTGCCCCAGACAATTGCCAATTTTCAGACTTAAGTGCTGTACAGTACTCCTTAGCCAGCCCGAGCTGTTTTGTTAGAACTTAACTTGGTGGCGTCAAGAAGTTTTCAAATGAGCCTCCTTGTATTAAAAATGGAATACAGCAAAGTTTCGATAAAAAAGACTCTAACTGTATTCTTTATATATATATATATATATATATATATATATATATATATATATATATATATAGCTAGGCCAATAACAATTGTATTTATAATGTACTCTAAAACCAAATG